TGATGTGTATCTTTTTTTTGCAATCTACTTGAAGATTGTAGAATGGCTTTGTTGTGTTAAAATAGCAGTATTTAGACCAATAATGATAATTTTTGAGGCTACAGCCCTAACAAGCAGTTAGTGTATTATCTGATTGTAAGGTGTAATGTCAAGTTTTAAATATTTGGTTTAGCAAGTTGTGCATTCTTCTGATAACTAGTTTGTTTGTAATTATCCAGCTCTTTTTGTTATGAGTCTAGTTAGTTAAAGTATAAGAGTTTAATCGTAGAAGTATTGACAAAGGATTTGTAGCATCTGCTATTAGGTCTTGAATTATATGAAACCAGCATGGGCATCAGCCTCTAGATATTTTCTTGATATTGTGATGAAAGTTATTCCACTAAAGAAGTTCAGTATTAGTTATATTTAAAAATTGTTTGGCACTGAAGATATTGTGGTTGTTTAGTTTCTTTTTGAAGTAAGAAGCTTTAGGGTAGCCAAAAAGATCTGATTTATTGTAGTACCAGTAAATTCTTTTGGAAGAGGCCAGTTGTCTCTATTGCATAAAGTTTGTAATCCAAGTGCATGTAGTGCCAGTATCATTTAACAGGTTTGTGTATGAGTTTGTATGGTTGAGAAGACTAGAAGTTGTGAAAGAAAAGATGTGTTAGTGTTTGCTGCATCCTGTAGTTGTTGTAGCTGTAGCTTTATGAAGGATGAGTCAATGCTGAGATGGTTTAAGTTTTTTGAAGTGTCAGTACTAATGATGAAAGCTGGGCTTGAGCTAAGTTGTTTATTGCATAAATGTCTGGGTTGAATATAAAGGAGTTAGGAACTCCTCGTGCTAGTTTTGCTTTATTTTTGATTAGTTGAATATAGGTTTTGTTAAGAGTATTTGTTTGTGCAGCTGATAGAAAGAAAGAGTATAGTTGGTATAGAAGGCGAGGAGTAATAACACTATTAATTATATAGATTGCTTGTTTCTCAATTATATGAGTGAATTGTAGCTTCTTTAGGTTAATTACTGCTTCAGCCATAATTTCTTTTTGTACTAATGTTGGCTTTCTATTTTTTAAGACCTATGCTCCCAGGTATTTAAATGGTGTTCTATTTGTAATTGCTATTAATTGTTCATTGTCGAAAGCTATTGTTTTATCCAGAGCTATTGAGTTTGTTACTAGTGTAGATTTTTGTGGATTAACCTTTATACTAGCAAATTAGGGTAGCTGCGCGACGTGTGACACCGCGCAGAACCAGTATGATCATGTATTACATGTAAATTCAGACTATTCAAAATTTTTTGATAAAGGATTTTAATACTCATTAAGCAAACCAAACTTAGAAATATAACGTAATTATGGTAAATGCTATATGCCCGAATATTATCTTTTGGGTAATGGCGCAGCACAAATTCTTTAAAGTTCGTTCATT